GGTTAGCGTCGGTGTTAGGTGCTGGGTCGGGTTGGCGGTCAGGGATCGAGATTGCAGCAGCAGCAGCAGTAGCAGCTGCAGCAGCAGCAGCTGCAGCAGCAGCAGTTGCAGCAGCAGCAGCAGTAGCAGCAGCAGCTGCAGCAGTAGCAGCAGCAGTAGCAGCTGCAGCAGCAGCAGCAGTAGCAGCAGCAGTAGCAGCTGCAGCAGCAGCAGCAGTAGCAGCAGCAGCAGCAGCTGCAGCAGCAGCAGCTGCAGCAGCAGCAGTAGCAGCTGCAGCAGCAGCAGCAGTAGCAGCAGCAGCAGCAGAAGCAGCAGCAGCAGTAGCAGCAGCAGCAGCAGCTGTAGCAGCAGCAGCAGTAGCAGCTGCAGCAGCAGCAGCTGCAGCAGCAGCAGCAGCAGCTGCAGCAGCAGCAGCTGCAGCAGCAGCAGCAGAAGCAGCAGCAGCAGCTGCAGCAGCAGCAGCAGTAGCAGCTGCAGCAGCAGCAGCAGAAGTAGCAGCTGCAACAGCAGAAGTAGCTGCAACAGCAGCAGCAGAAGTAGCAGCTGTAGCATCAGAAGTAGCTGCAACAGCAGCAGCAGCAGCAGAAGCAGCAGCAGCAGCTGCAGCAGCAGAAGCAGCAGTAGCAGCAGCAGCTGTAGCAGCAGCAGCAGTAGCAGCTGCAGCAGCAGCAGCAGTAGCTGCAGCAGCAGCAGCAGCAGCAGCAGCTGCAGCAGCAGCAGCAGCAGCAGCAGCAGTAGCAGCAGTAGCAGCAGCAGTAGCAGCAGCAGCAGTAGCAGCAGTAGCAGCTGCAGCAGCAGCAGCAGCTGCAGCAGCAGCAGCTGCAGCAGCAGCAGCAGCTGCAGCAGCAGCAGCTGGAGCAGCAGCAACAGCAGCTGCAGCAGCAGCAGCTGCAACAGCAGCAGCTGCAGCAGCAGCTGCAGCAGCAGCAGCAGCAAGAGATCACGTCGGACTTTTTGGCGGTGCCCAACAACCCCGTCGCGCTCGCTCCGGCAGCTCTCTCTTTCAGAAGCCATCACAAACGGTGGCTCAACGGGGACGGAGCGGCCTATCTTATCCGTAGGCGTGCCGACGCCGACTTCCAAACGTGGAGGGCGGCGGCGGCGGGGAAAAGCCGCAGGAAAACCGGAGAGAAATTCCACGCGACCCCGGCGAGAGAGAGAGAGAGACGCACGCAGACTGCAAATATACAGCAGCGGGCGTGATCACGGTCGGGATCGAACCCACGACCTCCTGCGTACCAGGCGAGGTAGTCAACATCTCCTAGCCACCGTGATGATGATGATGAGAGAGAGAGACGCAGACTCCACAAATACAGCAGCAGGCATCGTCAGGGTCGGGATGGAACCCACGACCTCCTGTATACCAGGCGAGGTAGTTAACATCTAATAGCCACAGTGATGATGATGATGATAGAGACACGTGGAAATTCCAATGATACAGGGGTCAGGGTCGGGATCGAACCCACGACCTCCTGTAGACCTGGCGAGGTAGTCAACATCTCTCAGGGTAATCGAACCCACGACCTCCTGTACACCAGGCGAGGTAGTTAACATCTCCTAGCCACCGTGATGATGATGATGATGAGAGAGAGACGCAGACTGCAAATATACAGCAGCAGTCGTGATCAGGGTCGGGATCGAACCCACGACCTCCTGTGTACCAGGCGAGGCAGTCAACATCTCCTAGCCACCATTAGAGTTAGGGTTGGAGGCCTTGGGGTCGGGGGTCGTGCGAAGCTCAGGGTTTGACGTTGAGTCAAGGTCACGAATTGAGGTCAGGCGAGAGTGATCGTGAGTGGGACGAGTTTGAGGGCTGTCGGGGCCTGGGTGAGGCTCGCCGGGGCTAGGGTTATGGTGGGGGTTAGGGTCGGGCCCAGGACGAGTGACGTGCCTGTGTAGTGGATAGGTTCGTGGTTACGCACACACCAACAAAGACAAAAGATCCCCCCCCCACCGCGTAGCCTTTTAATGTAGGGGCAAAGTGCTGTTAGCGAGCAGCACCTATGAAGGCCTGCACTGCACACGAGGGGGTGGGTGGCCAGCAACACGCCCGGCCGCCTTTGTCTCCCCAGTGGCGATGTTGACTAAACACCGCACCAGGTACTCTTTTGGGCCCGAGTCAACCTAGGGGAGGCCCGGCACCGGTTCAGATAATCGTCACCGGTGCTGGCCGTGAGCGGGAATCGAACTCCGGCCTGCCGGGTTCCTAGCGCAGCGTAGCGCTAACCGCTACACCCACCGCTCCCCACAACTACTGCCACACACAGACACAAAGATAAAGATCCCCCGTATAGCCTCTAACAGACTGTAGGGGCAAGTGCTGTTAGCGAGCAGCACCTATGAAGGCCGGCACTGCACACGAGGGGGTGGGTGGCCACCACCACGCCCGACCGCCTTTGTCTCCCCAGTGGCAATCTTTTTATCCACCGCGCCAGCTACTCATTTGAGGCCGAGTCGACCTAGCGGAGGCCCGGCACCGGTTCAGATAATCGTCACTAGTGGTGTTGGCCGTGAGCGGGAATCGAACCCCGGGTCGCCAGGTTCATAGCGCAGCGTAGCGCTAACCGCTACACCACCGCTCCCCACACAGACACACGCACACAGACACACACCGTACACACCACACACAGACAACAACAACAACAACCGCCATTCGCCCTGCTACACCACCGCTCCCCACACAGACACACGCACACACACACACACCGTACACACCACACACAGACAACAACAACAACAACCGCCATTCGCCCCGCTACACCACCGCTCCCCACACAGACACACGCACACACAGACACACCGTACACACCACACACAGACAATAACAACAACAACCGCCATTCGCCCCGCTACACCACCGCTCCCCACACAGACACGCACACACAGACACACCGTACACACCACACACAGACAATAACAACAACAACCGCCATTCGCCCCGCTACACCACCGCTCCCCACACAGACACACGCACACAGACACACCGTACACACCACACAAAGACAACAACAACCGCCATTCGCCCCGCTACACTACCGCTCCCCACACAGACACGCACACACACACACCGTACACACCACACAAAGACAATAACAACAACCGCCATTCGCCCCGCTACACCACCGCTCCCCACACAGACACACGCACACAGACACACCGTACACACCACACACAGACAACAACAACCGCCATTCGCCCCGCTAAACCACCGCTCCCCACACAGACACGCACACACAGACACACACCGTACACACCACACACAGACAACAACAACAACCGCCATTCGCCCCGCTACACCACCGCTCCCCACACAGACACACGCACACACACACACACACCGTACACACCACACACAGACAACAACAACAACCGCCATTCGCCCCGCTACACTACCGCTCCCCACACAGACACACGCACACACACACACACCGTACACACCACACACAGACAACAACAACCGCCATTCGCCAACTGAGTGGCGGTGACGGCACTTGCCCCGACGGCCTACTGCAGGCGACGCGCGGGGGGCGCTTGGTGCGTCTCTGCGTCTCTCTGTCTCTGAACCCAATTTCGAGGCGTGCACCGCCCCTGCGGGCACCCAAGCGGGCCAACGTTCCCGCAGTGCCCACCGGCGTCAACGCCACCCTCCACGGCCCACGCGGGAGTGGGCGACAGAGAGGTAACCTCTGGTGCACGCACAGCAGAGGGCAGCGTCTCACGCTCGCTAGGGACACATCCACGTGCATCGGGTCCTGTCAGTGGTAGGGGGTGGCGATGGTTGTTCTTGTTGTTGTTGCTGTGTGTGTGGTCTAGCCTAGGGGCACCCCCAGCGGCAGCTGTCTCTGTGCATCGGTCCTGTCAGTAGTAGGGGGTGGTGATGATTGTTGCCGCTGTGTGGGTCTAGCCTAGGGACACCCCCAGTGGCAGCTGTCCCTGTGCATCAGTCTGTCAGTAGTAGGGGGTGGTGATGATTGACTGCTGTGTGGTCTAGCCTAGGGGCACCCCCAGTGGCAGCTGTCCCCGTGCATCGGTCCTGTCAGTAGTAGGGGTGGCGATGGTTGTTGCTGTGTGGGTCTAGCCTAGGGGCACCCCCAGTGGCAGCTGTCCCTGTGCATCAGTTTGTCAGTAGTAGTGGGTGGTGATGGTTGACTGCTGTGTGGTCTAGCCTAGGGGCACCCCCAGTGGCAGCTGTCCCTGTGCATCGGTCCTGTCAGTAGTAGGGGTGGTGATGGTTGTTGCTGTTGTATGGTCTAGCCTAGGGGCACCCCCAGTGGCAGCTGTCCCCGTGCATCGGTCCTGTCAGTAGTAGGGGTGGTGATGATTGACTGCTGCTGTGTGGGTCTAGCCTAGGGACACCCCCAGTGGCAGCTGTCTGTCAGTAGTAGGGGGTGGTGATGGTTGCTGCTGTGTGGTCTAGCCTAGGGGCACCCCCAGTGGCAGCTGTCTCTGTGCATCAGTCTGTCAGTAGTAGGGGTGGTGATGATTGACTGCTGTGTGGTCTAGCCTAGGGGCACCCCCAGTGGCAGCTGTCCCTGTGCATCAGTCTGTCAGTAGTAGGGGGTGGTGATGGTTGTTGCCGCTGTGTGGGTCTAGCCTAGGGGCACCCCCAGCGGCAGCTGTCTCTGTGCATCAGTCTGTCAGTAGTAGGGGTGGTGATGGTTGCTGCTGCTGCTGTGGGTCTAGCCTAGGGGCACCCCCAGTGACAGCTGTCCCTGTGCATCGGTCCTGTCAGTAGTAGGGGTGGTGATGATTGACTGCTGTGTGTGGGTCTAGCCTAGGGGCACCCCCCAGTGGCAGCTGTCTCTGTGCATCAGTCTGTCAGTAGTAGTGGGTGGTGATGATTGTTGCTGCTGCTGTGTGTGGGTCTAGCCTATGGGCACCCCCAGCGGCAGCTGCCCCTGTGTGCGTGCGACCACCTCCCCCCTCACCTGGGCGCCCGCTGGCCACGCGTGTCCCCCTGCGACTGAGCGGAAGACGTCCGGCACGAGGCAAGCGGTGACCAGCAGCACCGTGCCCAGCCACAGCGAGAGGCTGGACAGCAGCTCGGCAAACACGCCCCGCATGCCCTGTGCCTTAAGCAGCGGCCTGCGGCGTTGCGCGCACGCACGGCATCACACACACACACACAGACACACACACACACACAGACACACACACACACAAACACACACACAAACACACACACACACAAACACAAACACACACGGCGTCACACATACACACGCGCGGTGTCACACACGCGCAGTGTCACACACGCGCAGTGTCACACACGCGCGGTGTCACACACGCACGGCATCACACGCGCGGTGTGTGTGTGCGTGTCTCCGTGTACGTGTCTCCGTGTGCGTGTCTCCGTGCGCGTGTCTCCGTGTCTCCGTGTGTGTGTCTCCGTGTCTCCGTGTGCGTGTCTCCGTGTGTGTGTCTCCGTGTGCGTGTCTCCGTGTCTCCGCGTCTCCGTGTGTCTCCGTGTCTCCGTGTGTGTGTCTCCGTGTGTGTGTCTCCGTGTCTCCGTGCGTGTGTCTCCGTGTCTCCGTGCGCGTGTCTCCGTGTGCGTGTCTCCATGTCTCCGTGTGCATGTCTCCGTGTCTCCGTGTGTCTCCGTGTGTGTGTGTCTCCGTGTCTCCGTGTGCGTGTCTCCGTGTCTCCGTGTGCATGTCTCCGTGTCTCCATGTCTCCGTGTGTCTCCATGTCTCCGTGCGTGTGTCTCCGTGTGTCTCCGTGTCTCCGTGCGTGTGTCTCCGTGTCTCCGTGTGCGTGTCTCCGTGGCTCCGTGTGCGTGTCTCCGTGGCTCCGTGTGCGTGTCTCCGTGTGCGTGTCTCCGTGTCTCCGTGTGTCTCCGTGTCTCCGTGTGTGTGTCTCCATGTCTCCGTGCGTGTGTCTCCGTGTCTCCGTGTCTCCGTGTGCGTGTCTCCGTGGCTCCGTGTGCGTGTCTCCGTGTGCGTGTCTCTGTGTCTCCGTGCGCGTGTCTCCGTGTCTCCGTGTGTGTGTCTCCATGTCTCCGTGCGTCTGTCTCCGTGTCTCCGTGTCTCCGTGTGCGTGTCTCCGTGGCTCCGTGTGCGTGTCTCCGTGTGCGTGTCTCCGTGTCTCCGTGCGCGTGTCTCCGTGTCTCCGTGTGCGTGTCTCCGTGTCTCCGTGTGCGTGTCTCCGTGTCTCCGTGTCTCCGTGTCTCCGTGTCCGTGTCTCCGTGTGCATGTCTCCGTGTCTCCATGTGTGTGTCTCCATGTCTCCGTGTGTGTGTCTCCGTGTCTCCGTGCGTGTGTCTCCGTGTCTCCGTGTCTCCGTGCGTGTGTCTCCGTGTCTCCGTGTCTCCGTGTCTCCGTGCGTGTGTCTCCGTGTCTCCGTGTCTCCGTGTCTGCGTGTCTCCGTGTGCGTGTCTCCGTGGCTCCGTGCGCGTGTCTCCGTGTGTGTGTCTCCGTGTCTCCGTGTGCGTGTCTCCGTGTCTCCGTGCGCGTGTCTCCGTGTCTCCGTGTCTCCGTGTGCGTGTCTCCGTGTCTCCGTGCGCGTGTCTCCGTGTCTCCGTGCGCGTGTCTCCGTGTGCGTGTCTCCGTGTCTCCGTGTCTCCGTGTCTGCGTGTCTCCGTGTGCGTGTCTCCGTGGCTCCGTGCGCGTGTCTCCGTGTGCGTGTCTCCGTGTCTCCGTGTCTCCGTGTGTGTGTCTCCGTGTCTCCGTGTGCGTGTCTCCGTGTCTCCGCGTGTCTCCGTGTCTCCGTGTGTGTGTCTCCGTGTCTCCGTGTCTACGTGTCTCGGGGTGCGTGTCTCCGTGTCTCCGTGTGCGTGTCTCCGTGTCTCCGCGTGTCTCCGTGTCTCCGTGCGTGTGTCTCCATGTCTCCGTGTCTCCGTGTGCGTGTCTCCGTGTCTCCGTGTCTCCGTGTGCGTGTCTCCGTGTCTCCGTGTCTCCGTGTGCGTGTCTCCGTGTCTCCGTGTCTGCGTGTCTCCGTGTCTCCGTGTCTCCGTGGCTCCGTGTGCGTGTCTCCGTGTGCGTGTCTCTGTGTCTCCGTGCGCGTGTCTCCGTGTCTCCGTGTCTCCGTGTCTCCGTGTCTCCGTGCGCGTGTCTCCGTGTGCGTGTCTCCGTGTCTCCGTGTCTCCGTGTCTCCGCGTCCCCGCGCGAGTCACCAGTGCACGCCGCCGTAGAAGAGCGAGAAGGCGACGTAGAAGATCAGCGTCCCCCACGTGACGAAGTGGTTCACCCACGTCCAGTAGCGAGTGTCCAGCGCCAGCTGGACACACGCGGGGTGGAGGGGGGGACACAGGTGGTGCACCAGCCAGTCATCTCAGTCGTCTCAGTCATCTCAGTCATCTCAGTCGTCTCAGTCGTCTCACTCATCTCAGTCATCTCAGTCGTCTCAGTCATCTCAGTCGTCTCAGTCATCTCAGTCATCTCAGTCATCTCAGTCATCTCAGTCGTCTCAGTCATCTCAGTCGTCTCAGTCATCTCAGTCATCTCAGTCGTCTCAGTCGTCTCACTCATCTCAGTCGTCTCAGTCGTCTCAGTCATCTCAGTCGTCTCAGTCATCTCAGTCGTCTCAGTCATCTCAGTCATCTCAGTCATCTCAGTCGTCTCAGTCATCTCAGTCATCTCAGTCGTCTCAGTCATCTCAGTCGTCTCAGTCGTCTCAGTCATCTCAGTCATCTCAGTCGTCTCAGTCGTCTCAGTCATCTCAGTCGTCTCAGTCGTCTCAGTCATCTCAGTCGTCTCAGTCGTCTCGGGCATCTCAGTCGTCTCAGTCGTCTCAGTCGTCTCAGTCGTCTCAGTCATCTCAGTCGTCTCAGTCATCTCAGTCGTCTCAGTCATCTCAGTCGTCTCAGTCGTCTCAGTCGTCTCAGTCGTCTCAGTCATCTCAGTCGTCTCAGTCATCTCAGTCATCTCAGTCGTCTCAGTCGTCTCAGTCATCTCAGTCGTCTCAGTCGTCTCAGTCGTCTCAGTCATCTCAGTCATCTCAGTCGTCTCAGTCATCTCAGTCATCTCAGTCATCTCAGTCATCTCAGTCGTCTCAGTCATCTCAGTCGTCTCAGTCATCTCAGTCGTCTCAGTCGTCTCAGTCATCTCAGTCATCTCAGTCGTCTCAGTCGTCTCAGTCATCTCAGTCGTCTCAGTCGTCTCAGTCATCTCAGTCGTCTCAGTCGTCTCGGGCATCTCAGTCGTCTCAGTCGTCTCAGTCGTCTCAGTCATCTCAGTCGTCTCAGTCGTCTCAGTCGTCTCAGTCATCTCAGTCGTCTCAGTCATCTCAGTCGTCTCAGTCATCTCAGTCGTCTCAGTCGTCTCAGTCATCTCAGTCATCTCAGTCATCTCAGTCGTCTCAGTCATCTCAGTCGTCTCAGTCATCTCAGTCATCTCAGTCGTCTCAGTCATCTCAGTCGTCTCAGTCGTCTCGGGCATCTCAGTCGTCTCAGTCGTCTCAGTCGTCTCAGTCATCTCAGTCGTCTCAGTCGTCTCAGTCGTCTCAGTCGTCTCAGTCGTCTCAGTCATCTCAGTCGTCTCAGTCGTCTCACTCGTCTCAGTCGTCTCAGTCATCTCAGTCGTCTCAGTCGTCTCAGTCATCTCAGTCGTCTCAGTCATCTCAGTCGTCTCAGTCATCTCAGTCATCTCAGTCGTCCCAGTCGTCCCAGTCGTCCCAGTCATCTCAGTCGTCTCAGTCGTCTCAGTCGTCTCAGTCATCTCAGGCATCTCAGTCATCTCAGTCATCTCAGTCGTCTCAGTCGTCTCACTCGTCTCAGTCATCTCAGTCGTCTCAGTCGTCTCAGTCGTCTCAGTCATCTCAGTCGTCTCAGTCATCTCAGTCATCTCAGTCGTCTCAGTCGTCTCAGTCATCTCAGTCGTCTCAGTCGGTCGTCTCAGTCATCTCAGTCGTCTCAGTCGTCTCAGTCGTCTCAGTCGTCTCAGTCATCTCAGTCGTCTCAGTCGTCTCAGTCGTCTCAGTCGTCTCAGTCGTCTCAGTCGTCTCAGTCATCTCAGTCATCTCAGTCGTCTCAGTCGTCTCAGTCGTCTCAGTCGTCTCAGTCGTCTCAGTCGTCTCAGTCGTCTCAGTCATCTCAGTCGTCTCACTCATCTCAGTCATCTCAGTCGTCTCAGTTGTCTCAGTCATCTCAGTCATCTCAGTCGTCTCAGTCGTCTCAGTCGTCTCAGTCGTCTCAGTCGTCTCAGTCATCTCAGTCGTCTCAGTCGTCTCAGTCGCCTCAGTCGTCTCAGTCATCTCAGTCATCTCAGTCGTCTCAGTCGTCTCAGTCATCTCAGTCGTCTCAGTCGTCTCAGTCGTCTCACTCATCTCAGTCATCTCAGTCGTCTCAGTCATCTCAGTCGTCTCAGTCGTCTCAGTCATCTCAGTCGTCTCAGTCGTCTCAGTCGTCTCAGTCGTCTCAGTCGTCTCAGTCGTCTCAGTCATCTCAGTCATCTCAGTCGTCTCAGTCATCTCAGTCGTCTCAGTCGTCTCAGTCATCTCAGTCGTCTCAGTCGTCTCAGTCGTCTCAGTCGTCTCAGTCGTCTCAGTCGTCTCAGTCGTCTCAGTCGTCTCAGTCATCTCAGTCGTCTCACTCATCTCAGTCATCTCAGTCGTCTCAGTTGTCTCAGTCATCTCAGTCATCTCAGTCGTCTCAGTCGTCTCAGTCGTCTCAGTCGTCTCAGTCGTCTCAGTCATCTCAGTCGTCTCAGTCGTCTCAGTCGCCTCAGTCGTCTCAGTCATCTCAGTCATCTCAGTCGTCTCAGTCGTCTCAGTCATCTCAGTCGTCTCAGTCGTCTCAGTCGTCTCACTCATCTCAGTCATCTCAGTCGTCTCAGTCATCTCAGTCGTCTCAGTCGTCTCAGTCATCTCAGTCATCTCAGTCGTCTCAGTCGTCTCAGTCGTCTCAGTCGTCTCAGTCGTCTCAGTCATCTCAGTCATCTCAGTCGTCTCAGTCATCTCAGTCGTCTCAGTCGTCTCAGTCATCTCAGTCGTCTCAGTCGTCTCAGTCATCTCAGTCGTCTCAGTCGTCTCAGTCGTCTCAGTCGTCTCAGTCATCTCAGTCATC